GAGCTGGACTTGAGGCTCCCTCTCATGACTATGAGTGACCTGAGCCTTATTCAAGAGTCAGGCGCTGAACCCATCAGGTGCCCCATGAGGTTTTATTTTTTTAAATGATGTCAGACAAATGGGACCTGTGTTAAGATCTGATTAAAGTTTGCTGTATTATTCTCAAAGAATATAAAGGCAAAACAGCACAATGGCTTCAGTGCACAGGCTCTGGGGCCAGATTGGTTTAGATTCCACTTTGGCTGCCTGACTTACTAACTGTAGAAATTGCCCAGATTACTTCGCCTCTCTGCAACTCAGTTTTTCTCATCTTTAAAACAGAGATCATAAGGGGCACCTGGGTGGCTTAGTCGGTTAAGCGTCTGACTTTCGCTTAGGTCATGATCTCGCGGTTCTTGGGTTCGAGCCCCGCGTCGGGCTCTGTGCTGACTGCCAGCTCAGAGCCTGGAGCCTGTTTCAGTCTGTGACTCCCTCTCTCTCTGACCCTCCCCTGCTCACGCTCTCTCTCTCCTAGAAATAAGTAAAATATTAAAAAAATTTAAAACAGAGATCATAATAATACTTTATAGTATTGTTGTGAAGATTGCGTTAATTCATTTATGGAAAGCATTGGAACAGTTTTTGGTATATAAGCACATAATAAACATTCATTATGATTATATTAGTAATTTTTACATACATCATAAATTTTTCTTGAGAAACTGCAAACATTCCTTTCCCCCATTATAGGGTCAGAATAATATATTTGAAACTTGTGAGGAACATGTGTTTTGTAATTTAGAATCTGTTCTTTAGTATTCAACATCACTTGTGGGGTCTGCAGCAACACCCCCTAATCAAACACATTATTATTTATGCAGTGACAATTATGAATATTCATATTAAGTAAGTAAAAATTAAGTAAGATAAATGACTGAAAAGATTCATGTCATTTCAGGTCAAGTTTTATTACCGAATGTATTTGCTGCAAACTCTCTAAAACCTCTCAGTTTTCAGAATGGTTTGGAGTCTCGTAATTTGTATAAAGGGTTGTGGGCCTGCACTCTAATGTATCCACCTTGTTATACTAGCTTGTCCTTAAAAAGAATGAGGTACATCTATACATATTGAAATGGAAAGTTAAGGCACATTGTTAAGTAATAATACCATATGTGTTATAGCCTTTGGCCAAACAATGCATACCACAATTCCTGTTACATTTATACAAACAGACTTCCATATTTTCATACATATATGTGATAAATGCATTGAAAGAGGCTGGAAGGATACCTGTCTAAAATTTGTGAGAGTGCTCACCTCTGGAAATGGGAGGGGAGGATGTCTAAAGGGAGACTGTCTCAGGTTTCTTCTTTTTTTTTTTTCTCTTCCTTAAGTTTATTTATTTATTTGGGGGGAGCAGAGAGAGAAGAATCCCAAGCAGACTCCTTACTATCAGTGTGGAGAGCCTGATGTGGGGTTCAAACCCATGAACCACGGGATCACGACCTGAGCCTGACATAGAGCTTGAACTCACAAACTGTGAGATCATGCCCTGAGCTGAAATCAAGAGTCGGCTACTTAACTGAGCCACCCAGATGCTCCCTTTCTCAGGTTTCTTTATATACTTCTGAAGTTTTAAAGTCTTTTATGAAGTGTTCACTTATATTTGGGTAATAAAAATGGAAACACTGCTTGGAAAAATAAATTGAGGCAGTCTTGTGGAGACATGAGAAGTGTATGTTTAAATCAGTAAGTGCAAGGAGCTGTGAACGTTTTGTTTCAGTTTACTTATTTCTTTTCAGTAATTGCTACACACAACGTGTGGCTCAAACTCACCACCCCAGGTTCAAGAGTCCCACGCTCCTGCAACTAAGCCACCAAGGTGCCCCCATTTGTGAACAGAGTAGCAGCAATAAACAGGCTCAGAAGAGCAGTACATTGGAATGATAAGGTTTAGGTCTGAATCTGGAAAAGGGATGCATTCTAGGATTAGGCTGTGAAAATCCTCCCTTGAGTTCCAGCGTCAGGATCAAAAGAGTAACACTCTGGATTATTGTCCCCTGTGTTTGTAGTTCATGAAGAACACAGGAGATGACCTGTGGTAACAACAGAAATGAACCCAAAGGGCTTCTTAGCCCCCACCAGAGACCTCTCATGTTTCCGTGTCACAGAAAGCAAGGAGAGAATTTCATTAAGGAACTGACCAACAGGGTTAAGTGGTGTTTTATTTTTGCCTCCATCCAATTTATTCTCCAAACAACAGCCAGAACAATCTTTTAAAAGCACAAACCTGGTTGTGTTGCCACTTTGATGGTTGTCCCAGGATCTTTGTAAGTAGAGCTGGTGAGGAAGAGCCCTCAGTTTCTTTCTGGTTGCAAGCCTGGAGCCCCCTGGAGTTGTATTTCTCCTTCCTACCCTTGTTTTGAGAAGCCAGCTCAAGAGAGAGATGCTGGCAAAGCAGAGTGCAGCAGAGATGAAAAACACAGAGAGGGCTAACAGTGTTTAAGTCCCTAAATTCAATCTCCCTTAGAGTCTCAGTATGCCATAGGTCTTTTTGAATTTAGTCACAATGTTTTTGCCCATGCTAGTTTGAGTTAGATTTCTGCCTCATGGAGCCCAAAGAATCAATCCTGAGTTATATACTCCCCTTCACTGGTGGATTCCCTAGAACATTTAACTGGGGCTCGAATTATATCTGCGTTAGCAGCACATTTGAATTGTTCTGTGAAGTTTATGAGGATTTACGGGATCTGAAGCCTCTTGTCTTAGCCTTATACAGAGAATGCTACAGAGCTAAAGGGTAAAGTAATGGGAAGTGACTCATTTATGTCTTAAGATGTATCTCGTCATTGTGGTGGTTATTAGGGCTGCTTATCATTATCCCTGTTTCCCTTTCAGTCATCACCCTCCCTGTGGTGCCATGTGGTTTGTTTTGGTGAACAGAATGCAAGAGAAGTGACATTTGCCCCTTACAGACAGAATCTTTAAGAAGTTGTGTGTGATTTCCATGTTCTCTTCCTGCTACTCTGGAGATGGTGGAAGCACATGACAAAATGAGGGGTTTATCATCTGAGTGATTATGATGGACTGAGCCAGACCCCCTGTCGGCCCCCTTTGGTCATGTAGATGAGAAATAAATGTTTGTTAAGGCACTGAAATTTGGGGGTTGTTTGTTACCACCATAAAACCTGTCCTATCCTGATTGATACTACCATTTAAAAAAATTAAATATTATAAATTCTGGAAGACTTTGAATTTGTACTTGAGAGTCTATAATGAACACAATTATGGGGAAAGTGGAATTAAAGATTTCAACTGATGTTTAGAAGAATAATTTCCTACAGCTACCTTGGATTTTGTAGATTCTATGTCACTTTTTTGGTTGGGCCTGCTAATTACTCCTCTCAAATTCACCTTAAAGCCCCAGGTAAATATTTTATTTTGCTGTACTTTTTTCAAAGTCGGCTATAGTTGGTGACCTCTGATCTTTATCATTTTTCATTATTAACTCCTCAAGTACAATTCAATTTGGGTGCACTTAAAACAGAATCTATGTGATTTTTATAGAAGGAATCTTCTAGCCCTCAAGATTCCATTTTTATTTATGGTGTTTTGCTGTATTTTCTTTCAGTTTTTGTGCCAGCCTTATTCTTTAAACATTTTTTAGAAATGTTTATATTTATTTCTGAGAGAGAGAGAAAGAGAGAGACAGCATGAGCAGGGGAGGGTCAGAGAGAGAAGGAGATACAGAACGTGAAGCAGGCTCCAGGCTCTGAGCTAGCTGTCAGCATAGAGTCCGATGTGGGGCTTGAACCCACAAACCATGAGATCATACCTTAGCTGAAGTCAGACGCTTAACTGACTGAGCCACCCAGGAGCCCCTGTGCCAGGCTTATTCTTAAGGAACTGCTTGTTTGCATTTCTAAGAGAATTTTATATGTAGAGCAAATGGGAATTAGGCATATTTACTATATTATTTATTGGCGGTAAGCTATACAAGGTGATTTCCAATGAATTTGGGGTGAGTTGTACTCACCTAGCTTAAAGGGCAGAGGTTTGCAATTGTATCCTAATCTACAGTGCATTTGTAGGTCTTATACCTATGTGCGTATGTAAAATCACTGCATAAGATCACCTTATGATAATAAAATTTCTATATTTTAAAAAAATTCTATATTTTTACAAATCAAGTTGGGATTCTTCAATTTTCCCAAATTTGGTAATAGTTATTGCTGTTCTTATTTATTCTTGCTTGTTATAGGAGAGGAAATATATATTTAAATAAAATCTTGATGCCAAGATGTTGGAAGCACCTAGATCCATCTGAATACTTTTTGATACTTCTGAGCAGGTGTTAATGATATATCACAGGATGCCAAGATCCCACAAGAAAGTGAAAAAAGTCAGAGGAGACCCTCAAAAAGTAGTAGCTCCAGCTTGAAAGTGAAGTTCAAATTTGTAGATGGTTCAGTATGTGTGTGTATATGTGCATATGTGTGCACGTGCACACATACATTCTAAATTTAGAGATGAGTTACATTATCAGTGAGCCAAACTGCCTTTGGTTTCTTTAATTATCTGGGGGACCTAGGGAGGCCATAGCTAGGAAGGAGAAAGGAAATCCCAGAAGTGCTAACATTGATCTTTGTGTAGAATTATGTTGTGTAGGGGTGCCTAGGTGACTCAGTTGGTTAAGTGTCAAATTCTCGATTTTGGCTCAAGTCATGATCTCACAGTTTGTCAGATCAAGCCTTGAGTTGTGCTCCATGCTTCAGTGCAGAGCCTGCTTGGGATTCTCTCTTCCTATCTCTCTGCCCTTCCCTGCTCAAGTTCTCTCTCTCTCAAAAACAAAAACAAAAAAAACTTAAAAAAAAAAAGAATTATCTTGTGCAGAAATCTGGCAAGAATAATATAATTGTAGCTTTTATTGACTTTCCATTGGTCTTCCATATCATAAGCTCAATATAGACACTACGTTATTGATAATTCTACAAAATCTGCATTTTAGTAGACCTCAAGAATCCAGGATTGATAGAAATTGTCCTGTATCCTGATGATCTGAAACTGCAGACAAAAATGGATGCCTGGCCTCCCAGAACAGGAGGTAAGTGTTCTCTGGGTGGTGATGATATGGTTTTAATGTCATGGTCTTAGAGTGGCCTCAGTAATTGGTTCTGAGTAATTAATCATTGTCAGTGCTGTTGATGCAAAAGATTCCAAAGCTAATGTCATTATCATTAGCAGATATTTCCCAAAATTCAATTGACTAAAATAAATAACAAAACCAAACAAAAACAACAATCACAATAAAACAGAACCCAAATCCATATAACACGTCCAGCTATTTCATTTGTTTGGGGCTAATTCATCCTGCCAAATCCACTGGGAAGCCATGTGATTTACTGATATATTACTGAGAGTTTGTAATAACCATTGGGGTGACTGTTAACATCTGCTTTGGATAGTTTCTAGTTCAAAATAATCTTAACCATGCTTTGTGGAATGTAACTTTGTGTGGAAGAATCCAGGCTGCTTCCCTAAGAAAGAAACAATTTTGCCAGTATGGTCATCTCTGCAGAGAAGGTGAAATTTCTGATTCAGGTGGAGATCCTGATTAGTTTCCTCAATTTTTAAAATAGGACAGCAACATTACTACCTGTATAAGTATGTTCTCACATAGTGGTATGCTAGTAATGTCTCTGGTTTGAGAGACTATGCATATCCCACATCCATGGTCAGTGCTTGAAATTGGTCATAGCAGGACTATTTACCCCAGTAGTTCTCAATGAGGTTCTTTTTGCCCCTTAGGATACTTTTGGCAATCTCTAGAGACAAACTCTATTGTCACAACTGGGGGTTTGCTACTGACATCTAGTGGGTAGAAGCCAGGGATGCTGCTCAATATCCTATGATGCAAAAGACAGCACCCGCCCCCACCCCCACCCAACGAATTATCCAGTCCAAAATGTCAATAGTGGTGAGATTGAGAAACTCTGATTTATATTATGGAAACTGGCAAACATAACAGGTCTGTTTATTTATATTTATTTATTAAAAATTTTTAAGTGTTTATTTATTTTTGAGAGAGAGAGAGAGAGAGAGAGAGAGCAGGGGAGGAGTAGAGTGAAAGTGAGACAAAGGATCCAAAGCAGGCTCTCTACTGTCAGCACAGAGATGTAGGGCTCGAACTCATGAACTGTGAGATCATGACCTGAACCGAAGTTGGACACTTAACCGACTGAGCCACCCACGCACCCCATTTTTTTTTGTTGTTATTTTTTTAGCTCAGGTTTATCAACCACTAGCCCCCAAAATGAATTCTTACACTTTTATCATTGTACAATCTCTAATTCCTATAAGAAACCCATAGGGAAAAGTGATATTCATGAAATCTGAAAGCTTTTTTATCCCCTGGGTAATTTATAGAGACTATTGGTTGGCATTTCTTTCTTTCCTTTTTTTTTTTTTTAATAAAGAGCAGATAGTAAATCTTTTTTAAATAAAGGACAGACCATATAGTCTCTATTGCAACTCTCTATGCCTGCCTGTCATTATAGTGTGAAAGCATCTCAGACAAAACATAATGAACAAGGCTCTGTCCCACTAAAATTTTATTTACAAAGCAGACTACACAGTTTAGTAAAACTACCTTTACTTAGACGGTAGCTTAGCCCCATCTCAGAAATGCCTTCACTGAAACTTTCTTTTGATGTCAAATGTTCAGCTTTTATTAAAGATACAAAAAATTACCAAATTACATTTGCTGCAACATTTGGCACAAAAAAGTCAATGAGAACATTTTCCACTGGGTCACTATAAGCTTCATTCTTAAGCATTCTTTTTTTTTAATTTTTAATTTTTATTTATTTCTAGGAGAGAGAGAGAGAGAGAGAGACAGCGTGAGCAGGGGAGGGTCAGAGAGAGAGGGAGTCACAGACTGAAACAGACTCCAGGCTCTGAGCTGGCTGTCAGCACAGAGCCCGATGCGGGCTCGAACCCACGAACCGCGAGATCATGACCTAAGCGAAAGTCGGACGCTTAACCAACTAAGCCACCCAGGCGCCCCTCTTAAGCATTCTTAAAATGTTTGGCTTCCCGCTGAGAAACTAATTACGCTTACTTTTTTTCAGATTCTACTTTTTATACTAGGAAGCTAAAACTATATTTCATATTCACTTATAGTGTATCCTAATTTGCATGATACGAGTCAGCTGTGGGTGCTTAAAACCTACAGGCTCCTGACCTGTACCCCAGATCTCCTGAATCTGTCTTTATGGTGGAGGAGGGCTGTGCCCTAGATCAGTGCTTCTTGAACTTTATGTACATACAAGTCTCTTGAGAATCTTGTTTTAAAAGGCAGATTCTGATTAAATAGGCCTGGGATTCTGGATTTCTGAAAAGCACCCAGGTGATGTTGATGCTGCTGGTCTTGGAACCCCAATTTGAATAGCAAGGTCCTAGAATGTCAGTATTTTGGTAACAAATTCTCCTCAGATTCTTTTTTTAAAATATTTTTATTTATTTCTAGGAGAGAGAGAGAGAGAGAGAGAGAGACAGCGTGAGCAGGGGAGGGTCAGAGAGAGAGAGAGACAGACTCTGAAACAGGCTCCAGGCTCTGAGCTGGCAGTCAGCACAGAGCCCGATGTGGGGCTCGAACCCACGAACCTCGAGATCATGACCTAAGTGAAAGTCCGATGCTTAACCGACTAAGCCACCCAGGCGCCCCAATTCTCTTCAGATTCTTATCACTGAATTGCATCTCAATTATGTTTTTCCTTATAACTATTACCTTTACTTTCTGCTTTTTTTGGTTTCTGCTTTATGAATTGAAATTTTATTATATATGTTGTCTTTTGGCTCTTAAAGCTTTTGGAGGGGTGAGATGGGCAATACAAATAAATCTAAGATGGGGCACCTGGGTGGTTCAGTTGGTTAAGCATCGACTTTGGCTCAGGTCATGATCTCATGGTTCATGGGTTCAAGACCCACCTCAGGCTCTGAGCTCAGAGCCTGGAGCCTGCTTCAGATTCTGTCTCCCTCTCCCTCTCTCTCTCTCTCTGCCTCTCTCCCTCTCACACTCTGTCCCTCTCTCTCTGTCTCTCAAAAATAAACATTAAAAAAGAAAGAAATCTAAGATAAATAGGTTTGAATGTACATCTTTTTTTTTTAACAATTGTGAAATATAAGGTTAGTCTGATACTAATTAATTGTACTAACTACTCCTAATCCATACATAACAAATAACAAGATTAATTTTATATTATTTCTTCAAGACTGGATGCTTTCATATTTGTGATCTTCAAATTTGAAGTTGCTGAATATATTTATGTCTGCTTTAGTGTACATCTGTTTAAGCTTTTAAAAGTTCTCTCTTCAGCTTCTGCTGATGCTCTGGGCCAATATAAAAAGGTCCTCAAAGGGCACCTGGGTGGCTCACTAGGTTAAGTGTCTGATTCTTTGTTTTGGCTCAGGTCATGATCTCACAGTTTGTGAGTTTGAGCCCCCCATTGGGGCTCCACCTTGACAGTGTGGATCCTGCTGGGATTCTGTCTCCTCCCCGCCCTTCCCCTGCTTGCTCTCTCTCTCTCTCTCAAAATAAATTAATAAACGTTAAAAAAAATAAAAAGGTCCTCAAGAGCCTGATCACTTAGATTTATACTCTCTGATCTAGACCATGAGGAAATTTTGCATAGGATCAAGTTCCTTATTAAATGCCACTGCTGTAACACAAATGGTCTCCCACAAATGCACTGAGAAGCCTGACCCCAGGACAGAGGAAAACTTGAATGTTCCTGAGACACCAAAGAGATTCTCTTACTTGCACATAAACTTTATGGCCTCGAGTGCCAGAGCGGCCACAGTCTTACTTCCGCCCTCATCTCCACTGCACTAGCCTACGGCCTCCCAATGCATTATGGGGTGCGCTTCAGCTTCGTGGACCGGAAGGCTCTGGGAGGCCGTGAGCAATTGAGTCTGAATGCTCTTTTAAAACATTGACTCCTTCAGTTTACGTTCGGGAATTAATGGGAGTTTTTTTGCCCATCGTTTTGTGTCCTAAGATTTGTGAATAAAAGTTATCGCGCGTTTCATGGGAAGAAGATAGCGGGATTTACTCTTCTTTCTGACAGTAGAACTAAAGGATTAAAATGCCCAGCTTCAACAGGCCTTTTCGTCCTTGCTGTGGTGTTTCCCCCTCGAAGCCCTTAGTAACCGGCAGGAGGTAGCAAAGCGGCCCGTGGACCATGATAGGTGACAGAGGGTGGACCTTCTGGCTCCACGTGAAGTCGGTCAGCCACAGATTGAACAGCGTTGGGTGTTGACCATATCTGCAGGGTCTCCTAGAGCTGTGAGCAGAAGCGGAGAGGACGCCATGCCCCAAACGCTTGTGGGATTAGGCTTGTTCCAGAGTGGTCAGGCCACGATCTGGTGACCAGGTGGTGGAGGGCAGCCCTGTCGGCTCTCGGAGCCTGGCTCGGTAAGTTTGTTAAATTTTCTTTGTCACTAGGTGGCAGAATATAATTAAGATGTCAGAATTTTTTCCATAACGTCGGAAGGTGTTTCTGGCTCCTTCCTAATGACCTCTTTCATTACCTTGCAGTATTTGCTAATGCCACTTAGGGCTGAGGTAATGAAATAAAAATTCCTTCTGCAAACACTTCCTATATCGTCTAGTTTACTTTTTTTCATTTAACTAGCTTACCTCTTAGGTTGAAGCATCCTTAACATAGATCACATTCTCTTCCTAAGGGCTACTGTTTGGACAATCCAAGCTTCTTACTTTTACATATTATTTTATTATTCTTTTGAAGCAAATCCCAGACATTGTTTCACTTCAGTTATACCCATTCCAGTGTGTATCTGTAAAATAAGGACGACTGAATCTGTGTGGTATTGATGATTAATACAGTCAAATAATGAATTATATTCCTGTGGATCATAGTATAAGGATAGACACAGTTATCTACAGAAGCACAGGAAGGAGTCAGGAAGGAGTTGGGTGTGGTCTGATGGAGTGGGCCAGTTCCCCTGTTTATGGAATCTGGGATTTATTCTGCTGGGGAAAATGCATCTGTGACCCAATGTGGATCACCTTTCCACCCTCAGATGAGTGTCTACAGAGTTTAAATGAACAAAAGCAACAGATCAAATGTGTGGTCAGCATATACAATTAGAAAATCTCTCCAGTACCAATCTTTCACATGCCCTCTGCCTCATTTTCAGTCATGAGAGGTATCTGGAGTCTTCGGCTGAGTCTTTGGGATTCAGGATGTCTGGGAGCCCTTGCTTCTAGGGTCTCAGTCTTGCCTCTGGGATCACAAGACTGGAGTCTCAGTCTTGTGCTGTATTTCCTGCCCTTCCATGGCCAGTCTCCACTCTTAACATATTCTTCAGCCCCGGGGATTCTTTCTCACTTTTCCCTGATTAGTTGGCCCACAGTACCCTTTTTACCCCTTTGCCTAAGCAGGGTTGAGTACACCTTTTCTGCAAGGGTTGCTATGTTTTCTTCTCTCCTCACTTCCTCTTCAGATTCTTATTGTTGTTGGAGGCCCCAGTTGATTCTCCTTTCCATAGTGCTAATACCACAAACTTGGCTGGTCTGCCCCACTTCCCTTTTCCCACTTCCACTTCCCCATAGATAGGATGTTCACCATGTGTCAGGGATTGCACTAGGTGCTGGAGACACAAAACTGAAAGAGCTAGAACCCTGCCTTTGAAGAACTCACTGCTTGACAGGGGGTGAGGTGAGCAAGAGAGTGGAGCATAAATGAGAGCAGTGCAACATACGTGTCAGAAAAACTATAGGCACAGGTGGTATGAGAACAGAGAAGAGGGATGGGCTTTTGTACTTGGGAGGGGGTGTCAGAAAAGACTTTCCCAGAGTGGGGCATTTTCTTTCTGTTTTTATATTTAATTAAATTAAGTTAATTTTATTTTTATTCATCAGGTTACACATTGATATCACTTAAATATATATGCATATATTATAAAATAAATTTACATATATATCACCCCTAATCTCCATTACTCTTCTGGCTATCCCCATGCTGTCCAAAGGTAACTACTGTTCTTATATATCCTTTCAGATTTTCTGTATGCATATATAAGCAAATAGAAATAAGGTTTTTTCTTTTTCTCCTTTTTACCCTAAAGGTAGCATAGTACACTTACTGGTCTGTACTTTGCTTTTTTTTTTTTTTTTTTTTTTTTTTTTTTTTTTTTTTTTTATTTATTTCTAGGAGAGAGAGAGATAGAGACAGCATGAGCAGGGGAGGGTCAGAGAGAGAGGGAGTCACAGACTGAAACAGGCTCCAGGCTCTGAGCTGGCAGTCAGCACAGAGCCCGATGCGGGGCTCGAACCCACGAACCGCGAGATCATGACCCAAGTGAAAGTCGGACGCTTAACCGACTAAGCCACCCAGGCGCCCCTGTACTTTGCTCTTTTAACTTATTATCATTTAGTGGTTAAAGGATGAACTCTGGAATCAGGATGCCTGCATTCAAATTCCCCCAGTTGTATAATTTACTAGCTGTGTGAACTTGGCAAGTTACTTAACTTCTCATTGCTTTAGTTTCTACGCTACGTCTGAGGTTTTCAAAATCTGGAGACTTTATCATATGCTAAACTTTATCATAAACTTTATGTACATACATATGCAACTTTATCATATAATCAAATTTTTTATGTACAGGCTATTCTGTTCTGTTGCTCTGTCTATTCATGTACCAGTGCTACACTGTTTTAAATTTTGAGCTTTTACATTATGTTTGCTATTATACAGGGCTAGCCCCCAGATGAAGACTTGAAGGATGATTGGAATTCTCCAGGAAGAGATGACAGCACCAGTGATGACTAATGTTATGAGTACAAACTGTTTTCACCACCACCATCACCCCCATTTTGTGTCTACTGTGTGTGAGCTGCTGTAAGTCATTTGTTTACTTATTTACTTTTATGTTTGTTTTCTCTTTGCTTTGAAATTTTTGTCTCTTTATTTTATATATATCTGGTTCATTGTAGGTAAAATTTTTAACCCACTTTAAATCCTTTTGGAAGTAAGGAGAGGGATAAATAGAAAAAGGATCAAGAACTGTATTAGGTACCTTGCATAATAAATCCCTAATCCTTATAACAAAACACTGCAAAGTAGATATTATTCTCCTCTTTTTATAATTTAAGACACAGAAGCCTGGAGAAGTCAAGTAATTTTCTTAAGGTTATATAGTAAATAAAAATAGATTTAGAATTCAAACCACAGTCTTTGGATGTTATAGTCTTTGTGGTTCCTGATGTTTCTTTAAAGCATAGTGGATGAGGTTCTTTTTTTTTTTTTAATTTTTTTTTTTATTTCTAGGAGAGAGAGAGAGACAGCGTGAGCAGGGGAGGGTCAGAGAGAGAGGGAGATACAGACTCTGAAATAGGCTCCAGGCTCCAAGCTGGCAGTCAGCACAGAGCCCGAAGCGGGGCTCGAACCCACGAACCGCGAGATCATGACCTAAGCGAAAGCCGGACGCTCAACCGACTAAGCCACCCAGGCGCCCCGAGGCTCTTTATTAGGGTTCTCAGAAAGGTAGTAGGAAGAAGAGCTGAGAAAGGAACTGAATCTATAATAGGCAACAACTATGTACATTTTTTCTTAATGGCTAATATACAATATAGTAACTGTGGACCATGTAAAATTATCACTACCATGTGATTTTGGTGTCTACTCATTAATTCACCAAACATACCCAGAGTCTACTACATCAGGCACTTTGCTAGGTGCTGAGGATACAATGACACATGGGATCTGGTCCCTGGCCCTTAACTCCTCTTGTGGGAGTTAACTAGCAGGTCTTTCTGGTCTCAACCCCCTTCATCCATTGCATCTTGAGGATTATTGAGTCTATTTGTTCATCTGATGCTAGTTTATGCCCAACTTTTTGTTTCAAAGCTGATAATGCAGTTATGATTAACAGTAGTAGATTCTCTGAGTGTTGTTTTAAGGATTGTGAAGCTATATCTGAAATCAGTGGCAAAGAGCTCAGTGACTTAATTAGTCCTGCCTGCCATGGTACAGGAGGGAGGAATGAAGGCAAACAAGCCATGTACTTGTCATACCTGAACTAGTTGTCCAGGTAAGAGTGGTCAGTTTCTTTCTGCAGTTGTTATAAATGACACTAATTGTATTTTATTGCTCGAATTCACCATTGCTTAAACTGCTATGTAAGTTATTCTCCTCTTGGGGAGTCTTGGAGAAGGAAAGCCATTGAACTTGGTTGAGATACAATTTCTCAAACGTATTTTTTATACAAGGAATCTTGTCCCTTCATTGCTAGTTGCAAAATCCTTATCAATGCTGGATGTATCACTTTGTCCCAGTTCTGGAAATATGTCTACCATTACTGCCAGAGAATGCCTTTGATTTCCTAGTATCGTTGTAGTGACTTTTGCTGGGAAGGAAAACTCCCAGACTGAATGTCCTACTCTGTTGTATGGAAGCCCTTTATTCAATAGTTTCTTTTTCTGCCTTGCCATCTAAAATGCCTCTCGTGGTCACAGTTGGAGTTAAAAACAGTTACAGATGGGGCACCTGACCTGGGTGGCTCAGTTAGTTGAGCATTCGACTTTGGCTCAGGTCATGATCTTGCGATTTGTGAGTTCAAGTCCCATGTTGGGCTCTGTGCTGAGAGCTCAGAGCTTGGAGCCTGCTTCGGATTCTGTATCTCCCTCTCTCCCAGTCCCTCCCTGCTCATGCTCTGTTTTTCTGTCTCAAAAAATAGGCATTTAAAAAAACTTTTTTTAAATAGTTACAGGTTGCCTGTCTGGAGTTTTACTGTTTAACTTCTTTAAGATTACACACAAATGAGTTCTTGCATCTCTGGGATGTGTTAGAACATAATTCTGTTCATTCTCTTTGTTTTGCTGAAAGTGATGCTAATTAATGAAAATTTCCTCTAAGAAGTTAATCCTCAAATGGCTGTTGCCTTATGGGAAAGGCATTTGAACTGCTGAGCAGGTTTCTCTCTGTCCACTTGTGGTTACCTCTCTGGCCATGGAGGGTAGGGAGGTGGTAGCAGTTGTGCTACAGCATGGGGTGGTCATGGAAAGAATATTGCATTTGGAGTCACTAACTCTGGGTGCAAGTCCTTGTGCCATTGCTTGGTTACTCTGTAAACTTGAGCCAATCACTTAAACTCTGAACATCAGTGGACTCAACTCTAAAATGATGATTATATTAATAATTCTGATCTCCCTTATTTAGGGAAGACTAAATGGGCTAATACATGGCAAACATCTATGCAGAAGTAAATAAATTTTTATTATTAGATGTCTGGCTTTACATTTTTCCCCCTGCGGTTTTCCCATTGCTTTTATCTTAACCAGATGTGAAATACAGTCTTTCTTGTAGCTTTTCCTGATGTGCTTTTCAAGAAAAGCTAGCAGGGCCAATACCTGATACTAAAACCAGCTTGGTTTTGGTGATAGACTTTCTCTCACTTTTTCTTTCATCACTCCTCTTATTCACCATTGTCGGTAGATTTTAAGCACAACATGACCCTAATCCATAAATCACACCTCAGTGTTAATGTCTTTTAGTAAGTCTGTGAAGAGAAAGAAAAAAGAGATGCACTATTCTACCAAAATTTAAAAAAAATTTTGGTTGAATAAATGCTTTAGGTAGTTGAGACTCTGGGAAAAATGAGAGTGTAAGAGCGAAATGGTAGTGTTAGAAAAGAAGTACTTATTTGACAAAATGTTAAGGGTCTGCTCTGTGCCTTAACTTAGGTGAAGATGTGAGGAGTTACAAGATGGCATCCCATTGCATACTGCACAGTTTTCTGCCGTCTCACTGACTTTTTTTCTTTTCTCAGCTTCTTTTTCGTTTTAGGTACAATTGTCATATTCCTTCCCTAGAGGCCTGCAAGGTGTTTATACTCAGACCTGTTCAAAGAAGGACTTGTTGCCCAACTCCAGGGAGTGGGAAATCTCAACATTCTCAGATGACCCATAGCCAGTAACTGAGTGAGGCAGAGGGGTGAAAGGGGGAGCATTTCAGCCTCCTGTGCTGGGCACCCCTGCTCAGGAGCTCCTAGCCTGATTGGCAGAGATTTTCTTGGTGTTCCATCTTGGGGTCCCTCTCCCCAGTTCTGCTTCCTCTTCCTTCCTTTCATAGTTATTGATCCCTATAAATACCTTAACATTTTTTGGAAAAAACTTTATTGAGATATCTTTTCATACCATAAAATTCACTTTTTAAAAAGTTTTTATTTAAATTTCAATTAGTTAACATACAGTGTAAGATTAGGGGCGCCTGGGTGGCCTGGTCGGTTAAGCATCCGACTTTTGCTTAGGTCATGATCTCGCAGTTCGTGGGTTCGAGCCCCACGTCGGGCTCTGTGCTGACTGCGAGCTCAGAGCCTGGAGCCTGTTTCAGTCTGTGACTCCCTCTCTCTCTGACCCTCCCCTGCTCACACTGTCTCTCTCTCTCTCTCTCTTTCTCTCTCTCTCTCCTAGAAATAAATAAAACATTAAAAGAGAAAAGTAAAAAAAAAAGATTAGTTTCAGGTGTTCAGTAAAGTAATTCAACATTTCCATTCATAATCTGGTGCTGACCACAGCAAGTGCACTCTTTAATCTCCATCACCTATTTAATCTATCCCCCCCAGCTTTTAATTTTGTTCATTTTTAAAGATAATTCTTTTTTAGAGTTTTTATTATTTTTAAAAAATTTTCATGTCGAGAGGGAGGTAGAGAGCAAGTGGGCAGAGAGAGAGGGAGACAGAATCCCAAGCAGGCTCTGTGCTGTCAGGTCAGCTTGCGGGGCTCAATCTCATGAACCATGAGATCATGACCTGAGCCAAAATCAAGAGCCAGACACCTAACTGACTGAGCCACGCAGGCACCTCCCACTCACCTTTTTAAAGACTAAAACTCAGTGGTTTTGAGTATTCACAGAGTTGTGCAGCCATCAACACTATCTAACTCCACAATATTTTCATGACCCCTCAAAAGAAATCCCTACCTGTTAGCAGTCACTTCCCATTCCCCCCNCCCATCCCCCCCCCCCCCCCCCAACTTCTGGTAATCATTAATGTACTTTCTGTCTCTATAAATTTGCCTGTCTGGATGCTTCATATAAATGGGATCATATGATATGTGGCCTTTTGTGACTGGCTTCTTTTCACTTAGCGTAGTTGTTTCAAGGTTTATCCACATATTGTAACATATATCACCACTTCATTCCTTTCTGAGTAAATAATATTCCTGAATATAGTATATAGATATACTACACTTTGTTTATCCATTCACCAGTTGATGTACATTGGGTTGTCCTAACAAAACATCTTGTACCCTAACCACCCATCTCAGCATCTACTTCTGGAAAGCCTAACCTGAAAACTACCCACGCTTGGGACCCTGGGACCTCAACTTCTGCACCAGTGGAGGTTATCAAAGTCTTCCAATCAAGAAAGTCTCCTGCCCAAAGAGAAATTTTAGTACCAGATGCCAACATAATAAAAAGATTTTCATAATAAGTACTGTAGGCCACTCTGGTGGCTACTGGTTTTAGCGTAGGCTTCTTTTGGGAGGAGATATAGTGTAGTTGAGATCCGGTGAAAAAGAAGACAGACTAGCTGGGTGAGAGGTAGGGCCAAAGGGACTGGTAGGGGCCATGCTGTGAATGACATTTATGGCATGACAAGATATTTGGATACTTTCTGTAGTAGTGGAGACTCATGTAAAGTAGATGAAGTGTGATCAGGTGTGCGCTCACTTCATATGTGGATTACAGATGGTGGGCAGCTCTTCTATCTTAGCAAACGTTGTGAGTTGGCCAGAGTCTGAGTGGGGGAAGTTGCTGGAGATGAAGAAATGAAATGTAGATTCTAGAAGGAGTCAGAATTAATATCAGAAGGAGTCAGAATGAATATCAGGAGTGC